CAACCCATTAACTGGTCTCAACAACCGCCACAGCCACCGTCTTCATTACCACCAACACAAACATCAAACCCAACATCAACCATCCTCATTACAGAGAGTGATATTCACGATCTGCAGCACACAGAGGTGATGCCTCTCCTCGCTCGAGTTGCTCTGTGCACGACACTCATCCTCGTCTCTACGGCTGCACTCATTGCCATCGTCAGAGAGGATATTTGGAGAAAGAGATAGGGGTGGTTGTGGCCTCTGGCTGTATTGAGAGAGAAAAAAAAATTGAAAAATAATTAGGGCATAGGGTAGATGATAAAAGCGGTGCCGCAACTATCGATCATCGGCTTAGGTGCCGACGAGGTGGTGCGCCGGTGGGTGGTGGCGGTGGGGATTGAGAGAGAGGGGAGAGCGGCAGGGGGAGAGAGTTAGAGAGAGTGAAAGAAAATGAAATTAGGGTTTGAAAATTGTGTACAATTGATTTAAATAAAAATTAATTTAAAAATACTTAATTAAAACCTGATTTATGTATTATTAAAGTTGATTTTGGATTTTTGAAAATGGTAACTTAAAAATCTTGGTGGGTGTAATTTCCTCTTATTAAAAAGCTTTTAAATTTTGTCGGGTAGATTTATAGTTAAATGTTTCGATGGTTATTGAACTTTGCACCATGTCACTGCTTACCTATCGAGCTTTCAAAAACGTTCCATTAGCCACTAGACTTTATTCAATCATTGTTCATTACTCATCGGGTGGATGCCATTTGAATTGATGCTGATGTGGAGGACGAAATCATGACGTGTCCAGTTAACTTCTTTCAAATGGTAAGATCACGTTTCACGGGGTGTCTTTCTTCTTAGCACAGAAAGGAACACCATGCGACAGTGGTCTGCTCCGCTAGACTACCTTCCACCTTCTCTCAGTCGTTTGTGGACAAAAAGACAATTTGATTACAATTTGTAAAAAACTTTCAACATGATTTTTAAATTGTATTGAAACTAAATTGATTATTGATTGTTTGAAAGCTATAAATTACATTAAACGAAAGCAGGAAATTACAATGGCTAGTGCGGGGGGCAAACGCTAGAAAACTTGAAAGATTGTTTGAAAAAGTAATACCCCCTATAATAGCATTCTACACAAAAACCTAAGTGATTGGAATTGACATTTAAATGTCGAGAAATCATACTAAACTTTTCCAATATCACATCTATTTTACAATTGAAACAAAATATTTACAATGTGCGGGTCAAGGGACTAGTTGAAGCTGCGGTCCTTAACACCAAGACACGTCAGAAATAGTCAATCAAACTGGAGATGGAACCAGATATTCCTCAAAGCCCTTATCCACCCCCTTGTCTTATCAATTCTCTGAACTCATCTTCAATGCTCTTCAACGTTAACGACAAACTAACCACAATTCCACATTTTACAACCTTCATGCGCCTTGGCTTTATCCTCATCTCCACACTAAATGCAAAATAATGTGGAAATTCCTTATGTTCATCCAATGAACCCATCATTTTTTTTTGTCAAAATACTCAAAT